CAGTGACCAGTAATGTACATCTATGGGAAGATATAAAAACAATTGAGACATAAAATGAAATCTCCTTGATAGAACTTCCAGGAGAGCCAGGCATGTTGCCTGTTTGTCCCCAATATTGGGGACTTCATAAGAAACTTATTTTCTGCATCTCAAATTCACCTGAATGGCTCTGGTCACACAGAATCCCAAAAGAGCACCCTGCTCTCTTTTCAGAACCAACCTTCCTGGGACACAACTAAGGGGAGAAGCTGCTACACAGAGAGTACCAGAGAAAGCTCCCACTGGGTAACACCATGCTGTGTAATAAGAACTACCTTTAGAAACTTGCAGCACCAGCTTTAGACCTCAACTACTCAGTGTCCAGAGCTTGCCCTTCTGCTCAGCAGAGCCTCCTGCCAGTGCCCAGTCCCACCTGGCATGAACAAAGGCTAAATAAAGGGAACTGGCTGCTGTCTGCAGCCTCAGGCACTCAGTGGATGCTCCCACCTTGATTTGACCCTGCTTGCCCAGACCACAGAATGAAGGGCTTTACACACACAGCAGAGAATAAACACACTGCATTGCTTTTGGAATCAAAAATAGAATGATTACCCACAACAGTTTGCAGCAAGACTTCGTGCACATCAGTGTCAACACTGTAGTATATGGTGTGCATGCACAGCTTTTGTCTGTGGGGAACAGTTACTAAAGATGGACATGAAGATCTTTATTACAACAGATTATTATTACCATAGAAGATGTGCCAGGAAAATACAAATAGTGTATATTAGACCATATGGAGAACTTGCTGGTATGTAGAGCTCAACCACCAAAATGCTTCTTCCACAATCCCCATCTACCCACAGCCTGATCAATACCCATCATCTGTGCACAAAGTTTAACTTTGTTTTATTAATAGTACCACAAAATCTGGATATATAAGAAAGTGCCCTACTATATAAAGCAATATATTGGGATTTTTTTTTCTCCTGCTGAAATAATTTCTAATTTAGTTACTATAGAAACCATCCTGCAGCCATCCTAAAAAAAATCTCTGTATATATTTACACTCACACTGAGAAGAGGAGAAAAGCTGGAATATACCTGTACATGCAAGAGACAAATGGTCAAAAACACCAGATTTGACAGTAATTTATAGGAACACAGCCGAAACTCCTTAAAATCTAAGAGCAATATTCAGTCATATGATTGCCATCACTAACAAAGCCATGAACATGCAAAAACCTCTGCTTACAGAAAATCAGGGCCTTTCTTTACTGCTTGGGAAACAAATAGGTACAATAATGCAGTAACACTATTTTTTCTGAGACCTGAAAAAGGGAAGTTCTGAGCATCCCGACATCATTCTAATATGTCAAATGAGAAGAAATCAGGGCTAACTGAACATGCCTTATTTACTCATTTAAGTTGCAGATGAGTGACAGCTAACAAATTATACAACAGCCCATGACACACAGATTCAGACCAGCAGTTCTGCAGTAAAATTTAACAAGAGACAGCTTTACCCAGGTTTATTTCTTTTCATACAGTGCTGTCATAAACATTTCATAAATAATTCTACTAGGAGTATGCATGATTTATAAAATGTCTGGGAGGAGCTGCTAGTTTTCTCTCTTGCACTCTGTTGTTTGTACGTGTAAAATTGAGTCAGCTGTAATTTCAACAACCCTAAATCTTCTCTACAAGAGATTAAAAACACACCAGTGCTACTTGCTGCAGAAGAAAAAGGTATTTCAGTAGTAAAGTATCTACAGAAAGCCACTGAGACATTCATTTAACTCTTTTGTATCATGAAGGCTGAAGAGTTCTCAAAACAGAAAACCAAAGGCATTTTATGGAAGCAAATAAACACTTTGGGCAAAAGGTTTCTATTGGAAATAACCCTGGGGGACATTAATAGGCTTAGAAAATCTTAAGGTTGGCCATTTAATTTCTAAGACTAGATGAGACTACTTTTGTAGAGTGCTAGAATTTGTGTTTTATCACCCGAGTCAGTATGTGAAGACAGGAGCTGGGACAGTGGGCTGCAGCACCATCTGCACAGGGGATGACACACCAGAGCTCTGACCCAGATGGTGCAGCTCAGTCTCTTCCTCACTGCCTGCCTGGGAGCTTTGCATGGGAACAGAATAGTTGTGGTTTAACCCAGGCAAAGTCAATGCAGAGCTGAGAGGTTGTTTTCCAAGTTGCTCACAGATTTAGGTTTGTCCAATTCTGGAATGTCAGCTGACACCACCAGCTTTTTGTCATGGGCACTTGCAGCCCTTTCCCTTTCAGATCTGGATTTTCTCACTTGCTATGTCTGTGTCATCTGTTCTGGATTAATGCCACATGCTTTACACAATGTTACTTGAAGAGGATTTTGAAAATATTGCTGGGTAGAAAATGAGACCACCAAAATATTTCATCACGCTAAACTCGCGCCTGTTACCAGGAAGATTAACCTACATGCATGGAGAATAAGACAAGATGTCCCCACAACTGAGACACTGGGGTTCATCCCCAAAATAAAACTTTTAAAGCCTGGAGACAGTGGTCTACATGGAGGACTCCAGACTAACACTACTTTTGTATGTTGACAGACCCAAGTTCAAAATGAGAATATCATTTACAAATACCTTCTATCTTTTCTACCAGTGTTCCCAATATATTGCACTGGGCCAGCATATACCTTTTGTTGAAGGTTGTCTTTTTTTTTCATAGTGTATCTAACTTCTGATTAAATAAATCAGTTATGGGAATTAAGTTTTTGTTGATTTATAAAAAAACATTATACTGCGGTCAAGTATCTATACTAGTACTGTTCACCCTTCCGAGTATAAAAATATTAGTATGCAGAGTAAGAAATAATTACTTTCTGAAACAATGCTAGAAAATTCCACCTAGGAATATAGTGGAATCTCTTTAAATTAAATTAGCTAGCATTAGCATTCAAAAACTAGACACAATTTAGGTCAACCACTGATCTCTCTTAATGTGGTAATTCACATTTTCAAGTAGAAACACTCCCTTATACACACCTCTCAGCTCCCTGCTGCTCATCTTCCTCATACATTAAAACAGAATACTTCTGACACTTAACCCTGCAGTGATGAACAAGTCAGCCTTGATCATGCAAAGTTCACACTTAGCTTGAAGCATGTTGAATAATTCCATTAATTTCCACAAGAATACTTTGTGTTATGTGAATCTGAGTCCAAGCATTCAGCTGTGTCAGGGGCTAATCACAGCAGGATTTTTGTAGGGAAAACTGGCAGACATCACAGGGAAATCAGCTGTGTAGCCATCAATCAGGTCCCCACTGTTTAGTCTGCCCCCTCAGCTGTGCCCTGGTTCCAGCTGGGATAGAGTTAATTCTATTCCTAGTAGCTGGTACAGCACTGGTTTGGATTCAGTGTGAGAATAATGTTGATAACACACTGATGTTGTAGTTGTTGCTAAGCAGTGCTTACTCTAAATCAGTTTCCCAGGCTCTGCCAGCGAGGAAGTGCACAAGAAGCTGGGAGGGAGCAGGGCCAGGAAAGCTGACTGGAACTGGCCAGAGGGTGGAACAGAGGTATGTATATAAACCAGTATAGAAATTGGGGGAGCTGGCAGGAAGGGGCCAATTGCTGCTGGGGAACTGCTACATCAGTCAGCAGGTACTGAGCAGCTGGACTGTGCATCACTTGTTTTTCTTGGATTTTATTTCTATTTCTTACCTCCCTTTCATTACTATTATTATATTTTTTATTTCAGTTTTTTAACTGATCTTAGTCCATGGGCTTTACCTTTTCTCTGATTCTCCTCCCCATCCCATGGAGGGTACCGGAGGGCAGTGATCACATGGGTGCATGGTATTTAGGTGCTGGCTGACAGCACTTGTTAATCAAAAATTATCTCCAGAAAGATGTAATGATATAGAAACCCTTTTTGCAGACTGACCCATGAATCAATGTTGAACCATTGTCAACATTCCTCAGCTGTTTAACCCATCTGAGAGATTATAATCAGAGACGAGCACTTACCTTGTACTTAAAAGAGGTTTGCAGAGATATGCTAATTAACACAACATACAGCAAAAATGAAGATAGGTGTTAACACAGATATAAAGCTGAAATAAATTTCACAATTCCAATATTAAAACAGAAGCACTGGATGGGAAAGCAGAGACACAAAATTTTGTCACTGCCATCACAGGCAGCCACATAACAGATTTGGACTGTACTCAGCCCAGAATAACAAGCAGAGCATCTCCAGGCTCTCAGCACACACTGCAAACCAGAATTGCTAAAGAACCCTATCACAAAAGAACAAAAGGCAAAAACCCTGGGACATATCACAGAAAAGCCAAAGATACCAAAGACAACAGCAGTGTGTTAAGTGGCAATCCCAGCAGGGAATTGATGGACAAATGCCCATGTGAGTCTCAGGAGCATTGTGTGTCCCATGTCAGTGAGAGGCACAGGCACCCTGTGGAAGTGATCAGACACAGGGACAGGCTCTGTGACAAAGCTGCTGCCTCTCTGTGGGGCTGGGAGACTCCTCCTGCTGAGCCATGCTGCAGACAGCAGAGCACAAGCTCCTTCCAACTCAGCAGAGTTCTCAGAGCAAATAGCACTATTTTTCATCATGAGAACTGCAGGTTGAGTTGAGAAATAATAAACAAGAGGATAATTAAGATGAACAAAATTAGAATTTTTAAAGAGGACTCAGCCATCAAGTATATGAAAAATGATGCATAACTGAAAAAATGTTGGTGCTTCTCTCCCCATGTTTTCAAGCTCACCAGAAATAACCCTTCAAGAGAGATATTCAGCCAGTAAATATCTCTGTAATTCTCCTTTCCTTTACTTGCTCAAGGCTTGTTTAACGTGCCTGTGTGGAATTTCACATCCCCACCCTTTTGCAGACCTTTCCAATGAAAAACAGGTGTCTCAGGGCTGGCTGAGAACACAAGTGCACTGTGTTTATCAGCTGTGTCAACTTACATTGAAGAAATTGGTCTTGTTCCTCTCGCAGAAGAGGCCCTGTGCAGGCATGTGCTTCAGCTGCTGCCAGGGCACCCCGCTGCCCAGCAGCACGTCCCGTGCCCACTGCAGGTTCTGTGGACAACAACAGCCAGGTGAGATGGAGGCAGGGGATGCAAATACCACCACAGGTAAAAGTATAAAACAAAGCACACTTTTATTTATTAACCTGAAGTGTCTTTTCTTGTTTTTCACATATTTGCTGCTCCATTCTCCCCACACACTCTCTGGAAGCACTCCCAGCTCTTCCCTCGGGCCAAGCACCAGCAGGGAATACCTGCCAGAGCTGAGGCCTCGACCCTCAGCCTTAAACTGCTGCCTTTTTTTAGTGGGGTGCTGAATTCAGAGCCTTTGGCCCTACCCAGCCACTGCCCTCCATGTAAGTTCACTTTACCTCCCTGGAAATTCCACGACTGTCATCAAACTTGGATAATAGTGCTCAGTGAATAATCAAGAAATTATCAGCAGGAGACTAAATGATAGATAACAACCAAAAATTGATAAAAGCACTATCCCTCTAAGAGTTCAATGCATGAAGCTCTCTTTTGTAGCTGAGAACTAGGGACAGCTGTTGGCTCCAGGCAGAATGTTACCAACAGATGGGACAAGTGTTAATTGTGAGATTTCACTGATGGAAGCTTTCCTTTACTTCATTTTTTTAATTTCAGGGTCCAAAAGTGGCATTTGAGTTGCATTTGGCCAGCTTTTGTACAGAAAACTTCACAAGAGAGGACATGAAAGAAAGAGGAAGATGTTTGGTTCATAGAGACAAATAAGAATGTTGCACTCGGGTTTGTGTTCTGTGGACTGGAAATACACTTCTGTGAGTCATAAATGTGATTAAATCATGTCCATCCAAGAAGCATAGTTCAGCTGTAATATCCTTTCTTTTGTGTATATGTTTGTATGTTGGGGTGGGGGGGTTATTAGAAAAGTTCTTCTCCTGTATTCCAGAGTATTTATGCTTATAAGACCCTGGTGAAACAGTGAAAGCTCTGCTCAATCATCAGTGCCTTTGTGCTAATGACAGTAATCATGCAGAAATCTCCAATGTCTCACCAGAACTGCAGCATCCCCTCTAGCAAAATGCTGATTATGGATTCACGTGCAGGAGAGCTGAACACTGACAATAATAACCAGATATTTATGGGTGTCAAAAATCCCTCATTCCAAGAACTCACAGAGGTACTTACACAGGACATTCATGATCAGAGTGCAGCATAATCAAGGGGATTTGGACAACTTTGTTTTGGTATGGAACAAATACATATTCACCCATAAACATCACAAGGTACTTTCGGGCTGGTCATGGATATCAGTAAATTTAATTATTATCATTGAGTGCCAAATTTAATTAAGACTGAAGAAAGCAGAGGGTGTAAACTCAGCTGCATACTAACATTCCTCTACATAACTTATTTTGTAATATGTATTTCTGTAATCCTGTTAACCTAATCCTGAAAAATGCTTGGGAATACATACAGAAGAAAATACAACACAAAAGAACCTAAAAAATCTGGTCTTCCATTAAAGTAATTTTGTTTTGAATAAAATCAGAACCCAACAAAAATAAGCCTATTGGAAGATCCAAGAGCCAGGCAGAGAAAATGCTTTATTTTTGTGCTAATCATAGTCATCAGAAGTTTAAGTAAATTCAAGTGTGAAAATGAAGTAAAACTTGCCTAATCTGAATCTTACAGTTAAAACTATCACATAAAAATTCAAGGAAAATAAAATCCTTAAGAAAGTTACCATCCCACCACAAAGCTTAAATCTAAAATTCCAGTCTAAAGAAATGTTAGCTGTGGATGTATTCTCGAATGGAAGCTTTACAAGGAATAGGTTAAGAGATCATTAATTGTATCATTAACTGTAGCATCATGCTCTGGTGCTGGGATGTGCTATGCACATTACCCTGACCATCCACAGGCATGTGTTTGGTACACATCATTCACAGGCTTTTATTGAACAAGATGATGGCAGTAACCCAGCTAGGAGGAGAAAAGATCATTCAGACAAATGGAGCAATTACACGGTAACTTCACACAATCAAAGCTAATAGGAATAAAAGACATAGTTACAGATTTTCCACTACCCTTCTCCTTAAATCAGCATGATCACTTATTCCCAGTAAATATGCCTGAGCAGGTCTCAACTCATTAGATTTCACAGAGTCTGCTCTGCTTGGTTTCCACCTGAAGTTATTAGGAGTGGGTGAAGGGATCCAGGACACAGCAAAAAGGATTTATTCTTCTTGGCACGCTGCTTGCCAGTCTGAAATGCTGGATTTGGCTGTCTGACTCAGGGCAATTATGAAATACTCTTTCCAGTTCAGCTGTTGCCTCCCACATCTTTATCACCCCAAGATTCAAAGAAAAGATGACTGACAGGGTACAGTAACTTGCAAAAAAGCTGAAGTAGAAAAGGAAAATCTCTTAGGGTCAACCAAGTGAAACTGAATCACCTGGGATGGATACCCCTTAACTCAATGGTGTCAGAAGCACCTTTACCTAAAACTGGAACCTCCACAAAGTGCTTCTGAGAGGTGAAAAAAATACACCAGTATACTTTAACCCTTCCCTCTGATTTATTTACAGTCCATTAGAAGGCTTTGTCTCAAAAACCTTCTCCTGCTCCTCCATCAAATAAAAGCAAAATAAAAAGACTACTGATTTGAAGGGTTGCCTTTTAAATGAACTGTTATTATCAAACTGTTTCTACTTGAAGCGGTTACATCTATTATGCTTCCAGATTATGTCTGTCTCTAAGTATATATTAAGCCTACCAACATAAAATCTTGTAATTTCTACATGCATGTGTTATGCCTGGTTTGACCAACCTGTCACACCCAACATTCATTTCCCCATTAAGGGCTCTGTTAATAACAGACATTATAGAACATACAAACTTAAAAACTCACACAGCCTTTATGAGCAGACTCTTCCAGGATTTACAGAGCACTTTTTATTTTGAGATTAAAAAAAAAACATTACAAAAAGTAAATATTTTTCTTTCCTGACAACTTGCTGGTTACAGATTATCAGACCAGTTCCACATACTGATCCGTAAGGACCAGAGGGTGAATATTTTTCACAAAGTTACACTGACAAACATCCTGCCAAATCCTAACTTCTCCTTCCAAACTGCCAACATGCATTTTGGAGGCAAAACTCACAAAGGATGAAGACTTTACTTCAAGACAATATTGATGGGAAACTGAAACTACTGCCCAAACTGGCAATGAAGTAACTTCTGAAAATTCATCTGTATTTTCCTGCACATTTACTCCAACTAAAACCAGATATGTATAAATATCTTCTGATAACAGACTAAAACAAAGAAAAATAGACTCTAAATATTAAGCTGGATTTTGCAGGGAAAAAAAAACCCCAGCAGAATATGTAGCCAAACAAAATGTTCAAAGAGTTTGAAAATATGTTTAAAAATCACTCAACTATCTTCACTAATCTCACAACAGCAAAACCAGGAAAACTGTGAAATGGGAGAAAACAGATTGCATATGGAAAACTTGTTTTTCTGAGCACTATGGAGGCCTGCCAATCCTCTTCTTTTCCCATCCAACCATGAATTTTGGCCATCAGTCTAAATTCTTCATGCAAATTCCTGGCATTGGAATGTAAATGCTGAATTTTCCAAGGTGGTTATACGCATTTAAAAATTAATCTCAGTTTTCTAAAATTTACCACTCTGCCCTCCAACAACACAACCCGATGTAATTTATCTCATTTTTTAAAATCAGGCTTATCATGAGCAAATGTAAGCACAATTCTTACTGCAGTTACTGCTGACAATGCATAGATCCATTTTGTGTTTTAAGTTTGTGCAGGAGTATAATTTCCACTAAAGACACAGTAATGTGCCATTAAAACACAGACATTGCTCTACAAAGAACCTGAATGAGCCAATGAAGAAAGAAAATGTAAAACCCATGTGAAAATGCATAGTGCACACATATCAATATTAAGATTTTTTTTAGGTTTTGCTGTGTCAAGTTCATTATGCATTATGCAGAAGTAACAGAAAGGACAGTTAAACCCAAAAATGCTCAATGAAGCCAGTCTGGTAACTAGTAGGCTCAAACAGGCAGGATTCAGTTTTTCTGAGTTCCAAGAGGAAACAGATTTAGATAACAATGTGTATTTCACAGAGAAATCCATCACTGAGTTGATATTTATATAAGGAGGGAGATATAAAAAGCAAAAGAGAAAGCTTCATCAGGGAAAAATAATGGAAGAAAGTATTTTCCAAGTAGTTCCTCAGGCAAGGACATGCTATTTGAACCAATAAATTGAAAACAGGCAGCTTATTTTGTTGAATGTTGATACAGAATCATGTCAGCAACAGTAATGACAGATTGCAGGAATCTATGGCTCCTATTCATGATTAGCTCCATGGAAAAATTAACAACTGTTACATACAAACAGCGTAAGAATGTTTTCAAAACAAGCTCTCCGTAAAAAAGGGTGATCTTTTTCTGGATAATCACTCTACAAATGGAAGTGTAGACAAATGGAATATTCATCACCTTCCAGTAGGTTGGCAAGATTTGCTCACTTTGCAGTGACACTGGTGATGTTTGCTGCCTCCAGGCCAGGGGTACAATTTGTTTCCCCTCCCTGTTGTTCACATAAGCTTCAATACTGCTGGGGAAGAAAACTCAGGAAGCTATGCAAAGCAGCATATGATCTAATACAAGACTTCCAAATATAAAATCTGTGAATTCAAACCTTGATTATGACAAACAGTAAAATACCTCTGATCATTTCAATGTACTATTCTGACACATTTTACCAACAAAGACCCAGAAAGTTTATCTGTGTCACATGATGTGTTTACACAATACTGATTAATTTCTGCTTCCAAGTCACTTTTCAGTCCACTTATTCAGTAAAATAATTGCTGTCATTTTCATGAGAACATCTTAATTTATGTGACATAACTAAAATGTAATTCTCTGCTGAATGACAGAAAATTACTTAGTTCAGTAATAAAAAAAGAAATTTTCTCCTTAACTGACCTCACACGCAAGTCAGACAATCTAGGAGCTGAAGACTTCTCCAAGTGTAGTTTCATTCCCAACTGCACCGAACGAGCTGTATTTTAGCACTGAGGCTTCTGCACCAGTGCCAGCAGCAGCACAGTTGGTTTGCTGGGGTGTCAAACAATGCTCTTTTCCTGACCCAGAGATGGGGCAACTGAGAGGTGTTTTAAAAACGTTTATACCATTTTCAGTCTCATGAGAAGGGTGAGACAATACAGATGTTATAATTCACATCATCACAATCAGAAGCTGACTATTTTCTGCTTATGATACACTCTAAGCATTTCTGGCCTATCAGCTTTAGCCACACCATGCTGTAGATGCCTTAAAGGTAATAATCTAAAGTTACTCTTTGTGGATCCTACACAATGCATTTTCATAGTTCAATTTCTCCACAGTATCCAGTCTTATTTGCAAGGCCATCCTTTGAAGCTTGTTTCTAGCTCCATTTCTCTCCCAACAATGCCTGTCCTATTCCATGGCATTTCTAAGTCAGCATTTCTTATCTCAAGGTTTGCATATGGATACCCACTGAGAACTCCGCACAGATCCATCCCCCACGCTGGCTCAGAGCTCACCTTGTGTGTTTTGCTGTAGGTGTACAGGTAGGCCAGCCTGTAGAGGCTCTTGTAGTGCTGGGGGAAGCGGCTGAGGCACAGGCAGAAGGAGGAGATGCACTGCTCCGTCAGGAACTTGCGCTGCTCCTCCAGGTCTGCGGGGAGGCCCTGAGGAAACTCGGCTGCATCCTCTCCACAGGGGTCAGCCTTCTTCTTGCAGTCCCACTGCGAGGCTGGGGGGATGGCAG